GTAAGTCAGCTTGAGTACTGTGAGTAAAATGCGTTTGATTCCCCCCGAACATTCAGATTAGTGCAAGCATAAATTCATTCATGAGGGGAAATTACAGTGAGAACATGTGGAGGCTCTGTTAGAGGGATAACATAGTGAGTTCAGTGCATTGATGTGACATTGTCCTGAAGGATTTAGTTATTCTCTGTGGTTAAAGAAATTGCAGTAATAAATTCATATTTATTATAAATAATCCTAATTATACATCTTGCTTCCTTGTTTGTGTCCTGTGTCACTAAACATACATTCTGTATACCCTGGACAGGTCGCCAGTCTGTCGCAGGGCTTGTTTGTTAAAATGATAAGTTATTAATTGAAATCTAAAACAAGTTTTTTTTCTGTGAAAAACTAAAATCAACACTATAGAGGGCTAAAATAATTTTGTGAAAGAGTGAATTCCACACCAGCTACAGGAATAAATAACAAAAAGGAGAAACTTATACAAAACAAAAAGGGGCAAACATTAGAGAACAGGTCACACAGCATTTTCTACCCACAGTTTGAACTGAATAACAACTAACATGTATTTATTCAACTTACAGTGAAAACAAACAGAAATTAGGGTGTAAAATGTAAAAACTTTTATTGATGTTAACTTGAAGTATCTGTATTTTTCTTTGTTTTAAAACAATTCAAGGTTATCGATATACATTACTCCTGAAACAATGGGATGGTTAACTGCCAGTTGTTAAAGAAGTGAACATTATCGACATTAGTATTGACGGTGACATTTCTTGCGACATTTTCAGTTTGTTTTTCTGCTAGTGACAGGAGTGTCCTGGCAAAACCTCAGTTCTACACTGAGTAAAGGTCGATGATTTTCTCTACAAAATTACAAATCCTTTCTGTGGTGGCGTATTCTGCGTTATCAGACCGGAAGTGCTGCCGCTGCTCCTGTGTTTAGCAATTGGTCCAGGAGTGGCCTCACATCATTTGCTGAGACATGACTCCTGACACTGTCTGGATTAGCTGTGTTATTGCCCGTTGTGTTTAAATATGTATTTGTTTCCTGAGAATTTACTCTTTGTTAAAGAAAGCGTTTGAAAACCGTTCATAGATATAAGTGTTAGGCTGAGTACACATGCCTCTAAATAAACTCTGGTGTGACATCATCTGCTTTGAAGTTTAAAGCTTTTTTTCTTTATTTTGTGTTCTTTTCTTCACTTCTTTATTATTGTGGTCATGATTATTATTTGATTATAAAATGTCTGGGCTTGAGTACTGCCCTAATAATATTCATAAGTATTTTTTTTTCCTATTACAGCTGTTTATAGTTCAGTTGCTAATGGGAGAAAAAAAAAATCAGATTCATGTGAAGGACAAGTTCAAATCGATGTGTTTAAATTTAAAGTGGTGTGTTATGGTTGTATTAACACACCATAACTATCATTTTACTTCTGGTTTACATTAAAAACATGATTTGAATAATAACCACAGAACCACATTAACACGTCAGTGTAACCATTGTTTTCTACAGTCAATGAGTGTAACTATCAGAGTGTCATGTGTCCACTGAAGCTGAATCACATCAGTTTTACAAAATGAATGCTTCCTGCTGCGAGCTCAACTTCTTCTGCACGTTGTGTTTTTAGGTATTTGATGAAGAATTTTAGATAATTTCATTACTAATCCTACTTCAATTTGGAATACTATACCCGTGTTCATGTTTTCTAAGTTAGGTGGCACTGAATTTTTCCTTAACTGTAATTTTGATATTGATAAAATCGCTATAAAAATCTCTGCTTTTCATCATCAAGCTTTTTTAGCATGGACTCTTATTTACAAGCATAACTTTAGTCCACACAATTATTATATCTCAAATAACAAGGATATTTTATTTAAAAGAAAATCTTTCTTCTTAGTTGGTTTAGGAATAACACTGTCAACCAATTATTTGATTCAAATGGTATGCTTTTCTCCTATGAAGAATTTTGTTTACATTTCAATTTAGCTATAAATCGTCATTATTATACAAAAGTATTTGGCTCAATACCATCAGGGGTTTGTATGCCGTTTATGAATCAACCTAATATCACTTCATTCCACAGGCTGTTGGCATCTCCTATACAAACTTTTGTTGGCAAGATTTGGTTTTCTAAACAATCTAAAACAATAAATCTATCAGATCTTTATTTCAGAGTAGTATAACCACGGTACCATATGTACTTTTTTTCTGGAACCGGTTGTCAGATGGTATTATGTGGAATGAAGTTTGGAGAGTCCCTGATCAGTTTTTAATTACCAACAAAATTAAAGATAGTTCTTATAAATTAATACACAGAATTTATCATTTAAAGATTATCTTCAAAGCAAATTCAATTTAGACATTGATACTGTCAGGAGTCGCTGTGTGCAGGCAGGAATAGGACCCAAAGTGCAGACTCACGGCAGGCAAAAGTGTATTTCAAAACTCAGCTTTTATTGCTGGATGGCAAAACGTAACAAAACAATCCAACTAAACTTACATGAGCAAGCAGGCAGGCCACACAGCCTAAATGAGTGTAGATAACAACACAGACACAAAGAAACACAGGGCTTAAATACACAGAGGGAGCAATCAGGGAATGGGTAACAGGAGGGAAACACAGCTGGGGCAAATCAGGCCTAACGAGACAAGGGGAAGCAAAACCAGATACATTAACATCAGGCATAGACCTTCAAAATAAAACAGGAAACATAACACAGACTGAACTAAAGACACAGACTCACACGCAGGCACGGCAACAGAGGGAACAGAAACGTGGGACCAGGACAGACACAGACACTGACTGGACATGGGGAAATAGCAGACAGGGGAGACAGCAACTAAGGATTACACAGAGACAAACCATAAGACATAACTCTAACAAAGAGACCAAAGAATAGAATGATAAATAATATATAAACTCAAACCCTGGGTCAACAACCCAGGCATCCTAACAGATACAAGCTGTAGCTTTTGTAAAACTTCCAAGGAATCTACTATACATCTTTTTTGGTTTTGTAACCTTGTGCAAGATTTTTGGCAGAGTTTATGTGTTTTTTATCTCAGAAAATGTATTTAAAGGATTTGTACTGTTTTGGAAATATGTTTTATTTGGTCTACACAAAAACCAAAGACAATTCAACTTTGATAACAGATATATGATTAACTTGTTAATTTTAATGGCTAAATGTCATATTCACAAGTCCAAATGTTTAGGAAGACATCCCTCTTTTTATGTATTCTCCTTTGAACTTGTACAGTATCTTAATTCAATTAAGAACTCCACTAACCCAAAAGCTATAAAAACTATTGGTGTTTGTGAAAAAATCAAGATCTTTCAATCACTTTATTCTTTGGCTTGACTGGTTACTTTCCTCCTAGCATATTTATATTGTAGGTTCTGAAAATTGTTCTTTTATTTGGTTGTGTATAGTATCCAATTTTTTTGTAAGTACAACACCATTAATACGGTACTGTTTAATTCTATTTTGTATTGTACTGAGGTTTAAATAAAGGCTTGAATGAAAAAACAAACAAACCTTTAGATAATTTCTATTCTGTCCTACAGCGACATCTACAGGCGTTATGGTGCAGATACAAGACGTAATTTAATTCCATGCTGTAGAAAAATGATTTTGCTGTTACCACAGAAAGAATATTGTAGTGTTTTTGTTTTTGCATTGAAAAAGATTCTGCTGATTATCATTTATTTATTTTCCACAGTAATACGTTCTTTAAACACTGTGCTCAGAGTCAATCAACTGAGACACACATGACCAGGTCAGGTACATGAGCGTGAGACTCCACCTCTGCTCTCCCCTCCTGTTTCTGCATTGTCTCTCTGTGTTTGGATGTTTTTATATGTAAAATAAAAATCTTTTCTCCTGCTTCTGAACAGACTTTGTCAAAAATACTTACTTCACTGAGAAAATAGTCAACTTGTTCATTTGGATGTATTTCACTGCACAGAGAACAAACACAACTTTAAAAAAATCTTTTTAACATTTTTTTTATCCAAATTTCACTCTGACATCTGAGCACCATTGAATTTCCACAGCAGTGTTTAATTCCTGGTTTAAACCCCCCACAAAGGTTGGATGTGATGAATGGTTTCAATACTGTTAGCTGTCCAGTGGATTGAAGATCCAAGACCACTGAGATCTGTGATACACTCAGATCCTAGCTCATCATTGGCTAGTTTGCTAGACAGTCACTCAGATTGCAGACCTGATGTTCTGATGGAGATTCACCAAACAGTTATACAGAGTTACTATGGTGGGGTTTATGGTCACTGTCTTATGGGTACCACCGCATCATGGAGTTAAGGGAAATGATAAGGGCAGTAGGACAGAGATTAAGAGCACAATACAGCACAAAATGAAAGAAAGGTCGCAAAAGCAATGGGAAGAAGACAGGAAAAGGCGAAAAATCCAAAGGAAAACAGGCAAAAGGAGAAGCACAGGAAGGAACAGGAGAGAGTAGACGATTATATCCTGACTCAGATTTGGGCACGCTGGTTTGAATAGTATGTTGTTTTTAATAGGAAAACATCGTACAGTAAGTGTGACTGCAATAGAGAAGAAGAAATAATAGAGCATGTTTCAGTGCACTGTCAGAAATATGATGCTGAAAGAAGACAACTGATCGAAAAGCTTGCTGATATGAAAGTGAAACTGGACTTGGTTGATTTATTTCGTAAGAACTCGAGAAGTGAAAGTTATCAGGCCTTATTTAATTTTTAAGGCAGACTGATTTGTTTGCTAGGATTTGAATTTTGTATTTATTTATTTATTTTTTCATTTCTGTTCACACTCCACACCAGTTGGTGGCGGTAATGCGCCATTTTGCTGTTTGGCAACCGCCAATAAACAATATAAAGAAGAAGACGTGCTGTTTCGTCACGTGACTACAGTCAGTGCGATCGTAAATACGGAAGTGCTGCAAGGTATAAGCCGTCGACGCTCTGTTTAAAGGCACTGTGGAACTGTGCCACAAACGTGAGGATGGACAAACGTGTGGCGGTAACGGTGCTCGTAGCTGCCGCTTTAGCTCAGGTGAGCTGCGGCTCCTTCGGGTGGAAGAAGGTCAGGAACGTACAGGTGAGCCAAATCCCGCCGGGTACCAAAGCCTCTGTGCGGGTTTTATTTATCCACACCGAAGCTCTCACTGTGCTGTTTTAGGGGACCTCACGTACTAAATGTGGACGGTTCATCCGTGAAACCTGCCGGAGTCGTCGTAGAGCCTTAAAACTGCACGTGCGTGTGGGGGCTCGGCGAGGTCCAGGGTTGAGACTACCGAGCTGTAACAGCTCTTCTAAACTAAACCCGGAAACACAAACTGAGCTGAAGAGAGTGGAACCACAATGGAAACATTAGAGATAAAAAATAAATAAACGAAAAGGAAAAACACTACAGTATCCAAGAAACAAACATGAAAGTCGTGAATCCAATGATTGCTGTCTATTTGGACCGCGTCACTCAGCTTTCACGTCTGAACAAGTTGATTTTCCTGGAGTACGGAAATGCGGGAACGCTCTGACCGTGATGGGAAATATCTGAGGTTTAAATATAGTTTTATGCATTTTGCAGGTTTTGGGTTTCGACTGGAAGAACTGCGGACCGCCTGATGCTCCAGCTGTGCTGAAGACCCTCACCATGTCTCCAGACCCAATCTCCATCCCAGGTGATCTGACAGCCTCCGCTTCTGGGTCCACAGCCGTTGAACTCGGTGCTCCTCTGTCTGTGAGTACGCTTATCTATGGATGGCAGTGACATGAGGATGCTTTCAGTCGAGTTTCACAAATAATTTTTCATTTATAACGAACATCAAAAGGAGCAGATTTTAAAGGAAGCAGTAGGGTACTTTGTTAGTTTTAGCACTTCCCTTTCAGCGCAGCCACAGTGAACAAAGGGCTTAAATGTCTCCCAGTTTGAAATGGTTTTTGTTTATTTTTTTTCATTAGAGGGAGCTGCATTCAGCACACTTCACATACTCACAAGTTCCAAACACACACAGGCAAATTAACCGGATCAACCGGTTGAGCTGAGATGGAGCCTTTGTCAGCTGTCATCAGGCAAGAGGTGGGCTACACCCTGGGCAGGTGGTCAAACACAAACGAGTATCTCAAGGTTAAAATGTGCACTGTGAGTCTCCTACTCATCAGAAAACTGTGCCTAATATTGCTTATAACTAGAGCTGGGCGATATGAGATTTTTTCATATCACGATATGTTTTTTTCATTTCAGGGATAACGATATCTATCACGATATCAGCCAAATAACTATATTTGTAAGATTTAAATGTGCCGTTGCTCACAAGTAAAATGTGAAATAATCAGCAGCTTGTTTTTATTTAAATATTTATTTCCCATAATAAGTTCAACAGGGTAGATGTACTTAAGGAACATGAGACTTTTTCAGATAAATAAAGGCAAATATTGCAAACTACACAAAAGGCAGCCGCTAAAGTGTTTAAGTTTCAAAATAGAACAAACGAAACAGACTAAATTGTCAATTCCACTTAGAAACAAAATATTAATTCTAAAAATAAATCTTAGTTTGTTTTACAGAAGAACAGACAAAATCTGACTAACTTTTGTCAATATCAAATAAACTGAGAACTAAAAGGAAATTCTCAATCTCTCCTTGTTGTATAGCTGAGCTTTTCAAACAGTTTTAACAGTTACTTTAGTCTGACAAAAGCCGAATGACGAATTAGCGCTTCCAGTCAGAGATTGAGCATGCACCGGTTTATTGTATTTCCAGACTTGCTTTCGGCACAATTTACAGTGCCGCTACTCTGTTTTTTGTCAGACTTGAAATAGCCGAAATACCTTCACACTACGGAACTTCTATGGCTCTTCCGTTCGACAATCTCTCCGGCATTGGAACCATCATCTGTTTTCTCTTCGGTAACCTTCGGTCACGCTCGGTTGATTTTTCTAGTCGGCACACTCATTTCCTCCATTACCCGGGCGGCACGGCGGCTGGCTGCTTCCCAAACAAATACACATGTGCGGCTTGGCACTTGTGCTGTACGTAACAAGTCACGTGACGTGACGCTGCGGCTGTGATTGGTTCGGCTCTGCGCTACTTAATTTGGATTGGCTGTTCTTGTTTTTTTTTTTTTTTTAAAGAGGACAAGAGCGGTGAGGTCTATCGCAATAGTTTAATTTTTCTATCGAGAAAAAGTTATTTCGCAATACATATTCGTTATCGTTCTATCGCCCAGCTCTACTTATAACTCTTTGTATTTTGTAGGCAAAATAGAAGATATTTTGTTGATGCTTGACTGAGGTGAATAACTTGATGGATTTTAATTAATGAGTGGGTTGAATAACTTAGAGCTGATGGAAATGGACAAAATTCTTTCTCTTTATTCCTTTAGTTAGGTTTTTCCTAACATTTCAATACTTGACTAGTTTATAGCAGTGTCATCCTCCACAGGGTTAACTTAAGTAACAGGCACAAGGTTACTCAACAGTGGTTTAACTGTCTGGTATAATATTCTTATTATTTGGCAAAGCAAAAAGTCGTCTTGTCTGGATCTGCCGCTGATCCTCATGTGCTTCATGCGAGCTAAAAAGCAGCTTTCAGGTTTAGATGTTCCAAACTGTCTGTCAGAATCCTACAAAGTCCCAATGAAGTGTGCCTATCCCTAAATCGAGTACAGTTATTGAGTTTAGTTAGACCTCGGCCCTGAGGAAACAGCTCCTCGTTTTATTGTTTCATTGCCCACGTGTACTTTCACTTTGACAGTTAAAGTTTATGTGGAGTGAAAGGGTCTTGGTTTTAGTCACTTGTGAGTAGGGATGGGTACCGGTATGGCACCGGTTCTGACATAAACGGTAGTAACCAGACCGAAAAGCAGCGCACATTTCGGTGCTTTTTTTTTTTTTTTCCTGAGATGTCATACACTTCGGATTCCAGCCAATCATTTTACCTTTGCAAGCGTAGTAGGCGGGCCCAGGTATGTACGTTCTTTTAGAGCAGAGCTACAGATTAAAAACGCCCAAGGCGAAGCGGTCAAAGTCTGGCTGTACTTCATAGCAAAAGATGCAAACTCAGCAGCCTGCAACAAGTGCTTTAAGCTGATACCCTGCAAAGGAGGTAACACCTCGAATCTGATGAAACACCTGGCGACGCATAGCGCTTTTTTTAAAAGCCGAGAAATGCACCGTATTTGATAGCTTGCTGCAAGAGCTCACATCGAGCACATCTATTGTGGGTGTGGTGCCTGTTATCGGACCCGGAGTTAGCAACATCCCCCAAAAACCCGAAGAGGAGCGTCCTGGCCCGTAGCCCTGCCAGTGTAGCAGAAATGATGATGGCAGCAGCCATTCTTCTCTGGGTCAGTAGCTTAATGTTGTTCGTGTGTAATTTACGTTGAGTAGGCTCACCACGTTATTAAATTAATGCACGTAAGGTGAACTAGCAAACACCATCGTAGTTACATGCGGCTGTCTTCTTGTTTGATGGCAGATACTCCCTTCATCCTGGCCAAAAAGGCTAAAATGACCAAAGAAAAAGTGGAAACGGCTAAACATGAGAGGTTTTTGGACAAAGTTGGTGGGTTTTTTTATTTTGTTTTTTTTGTTTTTTTTTCCCATTGATTAAGCACTGCTTCCAGCCAAGAGTGATGCCATAAATCCCCTATAGTTGCAGAAAGGGCTAACATTGTTATCTTTTTACCAAAAAAAAAAAAACGGCTAAACATGAGAGGTTTTTAACAAAGTTTGTGTTCTTCATTCTTTAAGCACCGTTTCAAAAGTACCAGTTTGGTACTGGTATCGGATAAAACCTAAACGATACCCATCCCTACTTGTTAGATAGAATTTATTTTGAACATTCAAAAATAACTGAAATAACAAGAGAAATAAGAAAAACTTTTAAACAAAATTAAAAAACATCAAGTTTTCATGTATATATCTACAGAATGTGTGTGCAACTTGTGGTGTAGACTTGAAGCAGTTGATTAGTCTTTAATCTTGGAAAATGAAATTAAACTAAGAATGTTGTTTGGGTTACATCGTACACTGAAAACAGAAGCTTGTCTGTGAAGCATGGTCACATGCTCCAAATAAAGAACTGGAAATGGTCTAGAAGAGAGATGAATGAGCTAACGTCATCAGAATGAGGAGACAGAAATATTAGAAAGGTATTATCTCTTTATATATTTCAACTTTACTTAGAAGCACGCACGAAAACCACTTCCTGTTTCCAATCTGTGTTTGATACAGAGGAATAAAAATACTGTCCGGTTTGCCAAGATATATAAAGCATTTAGAAGAAACACCTGATGGTGCAGAGCAGTCAGGTTTTATTGGATTTTATTCAGTTTTCTTTTCTTTCATTCCTCAATCGGTTTATTTGTACACATATTAACCAAATAAATAACTAAATAGACAACCAGTTGCCTCCTGTGAGGCCTACACACGGACACCCCCCGGATCAGGGCTGTCATATATTTTTACAGGTTTAAGATTTTTAAATTTAAATCATTCTGCAAACTAGACACAGCCATATTCTAATGTTTAACAGCAATATTAAAAACTGCAGTGTATGATTGATACACAGTGACACATTACATTCTTCAGGATCACAGTAATATAATGAGCTACTGGACTAAAGTCAGTAATCGCATCACACAGTTACAATTATGTGGTTACTTGGGTGACCAAAGTTCTTTACCTGCACTGCAAACCAAGAGAGAGACAAAACACCACCAACCACGTTGTTTTCTTCATGCATACGTCGCTACGATCAGCTGATTTCAGTTTGTGTGCAGGGAGGACGACGATGGTGGACATTACTTTTATTTTTATCACATGAAAGGACAAGAGCGTGATGGTAAAATTCAAACTGTGAATTATCTGGATTATACTGCTGACGCAGACACACACCGTTCTAACACAAAGACAACCCACAGCTACACCTGATCTTCAGCAGATAACAGTGATCCTGTTACAGTGTGAGCAGTCTGTTTCTAAAGTAGAATCGCCATGACGATTGCTTTGAAGCCTGCTG